TCTTCAAGAGACTACATTATTGAAAGAGGTCGCAGCTAATATTCCCTTTACTGGAAAACTAAAACACTGCATTTTTGAAAAACAAAGATTTGCTTTCAAATTTACTGTTAAGAAAAAGTCCAATTTCAGATAGTTTATTTGAATAATGTTCCCTATGGTAATAGTTGCACACATTTTAATAACTGCTATAAATGTATTAGGGAGTGCTACACAGGATAGTGAGTTCAGAGGAATGGGGATTGTAACTATAGTAGAACATACGCTTTCTGTTCAACCATCAACCTGTCTAGCACTACTTCAATTATGTGATGTGCAACTATTCGTTGTAACTACTTAACTGTTTATTCAGCTAAGTAAAGAGACATCAATCTAAGTAGCACAAAGTGGCTTCAGATTTTACCCAAGTGCTAGGTTGCTTTAAAGACATTATTGAATTCTAACTACATAGTAGATAACACTTACGCGAAATAAATGAAAATCATTCCGAATGAATGAATTCCTATTTAAAGCATATTATATACTACTTATGAGAAATGCTGCAAACTTGAACTGGGATGAGAGAAAATTTGCAATAAAGTTCCTTGATTCTAGATAGCCGTTTTGTGTATGCATATGTTTAATAGCATTATAAAATATCACTTCTAAGTCACCATTATATTTGCAGGCAGCATGTTCTTCGGCCACAAACTTATGATTCATATATATCAAATCACTTAGCACTGCTGGCAAGTGTTGCCAGCCTGAAATATAAAACAGAGAGGATAATAAAACTTTAACAAGCAGCAATAAAACTAATGAAATATAATCTCAAATATACTACTCTAATTCATCCCGAGAGGGAACACAATCACCCAATCCTAAGGATGAGGAAATGGAGCCAGCTCCATAAAAACACATATTTATCATAGTAACATGGATCATTTTAGAATTAGAACTAAAAGAAAATTCAAGCTGGTTATAGTAGTGTAATTATCATGACTAAATAGATGAGGATGACAGGATGAAGCAACTGTTCACATATGCTTATTTTGGCTCCGTATTTAAAGCTATTGAAATGAAAATATTGATATTACTTTTAATGGGGATAATCTTTCATGCTGAGGATAGAGAAATTTCAGGATAGTCAGACTAAGCAGCATTTAAGAAGTGAGGTATGAGTTCCAAGACCAATACGTAAGTGGGTCACAAGTTTATTTACATACAGTTTGCATGTGTCTGTAATAACCATGCAATCTATTCCCAAATAACTTCAGATTGATGTTTATTACTGTATCCCTTGAGGTTGTAATTTGATAATTGTGCATTTCCTCCCGTATTTCCTACAATTCTCCTCTGTCTTTGAGAAACTAGAATTCCAAATTTAAGAAAAAGGGAGCAGAGAGGAGAGAGAAAAAGAAATGAAAGAATGAATGAGGCAGAGAAAGGAGATAAGAGGAAGGTACAATTTGCTGTGAGTTCTTTCTCTGTAGCTTTTACTTTTTGCAAACACAAGTGATTTAAGGGAGCAATCTAAACAACAGAGAACAGACTAATCCAAAGATAAAATTAGAAGAGACAAGATTTCCTTCTTTTAATAGACTATCTCTGAGATTCTGCATATGGTATAGTTTATGCATACAAGTAAGTTAGTAAAGGGAAACAGATCGATCGTTGTCCACTCTCAGAAGTATCCACAGGACAACTAGGAGTTCTGTGCTTAGTTTTCAACTGCCAGAAGATTTTTTTTTTAACTACAGGAATTTGTATCAATAACTGATTTTCCCAAAACGGCTCAGGAAACACATAATGTCAAGTAGGGTCAAACAATGAAGACGGGATATGCAATTCGGCTTCGGTATGTTTAAGATAAGCAAAAGTAATGTAGAAGAGCAAGATGCTGTACTTAGATTATAGACATTTGGAATGTCTATTATTCAAAGGGCAACCTCAAAAAACTGGTAGAAATATTTTACCTATAGAATGAATGATTGGACAGTATGGTTACTTGTCACAGGCAGAATTAATTGAAGCGTTTTTGAAAACTTGAACAAGCAGCTTGAAAACACAACAATAAAAAGAAATAAGGTGTCATGAAAAATGTACGAATAATAAGAATAAATACTTTCTGTCCCTACATTTCATGAGTACAATATAGATTACAAGACTTAACTCTTTTGTAAATCAAATATATCTTATTTACTTTTTGTTGCCTCATTTCTCTTTTAAAATATGCGTACTCCTATCTATTGATTTTATTTCACTTTGGTTGATGGGAGTACAACCATTGACCCAAAAATGGTCCCCTTCTAAAAGATAACTCCCATTATTTTCCACTTCTCTTGAAATTTTAATATCTAGGTTACATTTTTCATCATTAAAATAGTTATTTGGTTTATTAGTAACCTCTGAGGGATGTCTTGAGAATTAATAGAGTGGAAAAATACTTTATAGAAATTATTGTTTTTGCAAGAGCTATATGTTAGTGAGGAGTTAATGCTACTTTATGCCTACTGATTATAATATATGCCTGGCCATTCTTTCAATTAAAATAAAACCAAAGCAATGTCTTTAACATATACCTGCTTTCACTGAATAGTAACAATTCTATCAGTCTGTGGTGAAAGGGAAAATCTCAATATTAAGGACATAAATTGACCATATTTTCAATATGAAAGATATTCCGTGGAGTAGTTGGGACACATTCGTGGGTTTTATTTTATTTATTTATTTATTTATTTTTCGAGACAGAGTCTTGCTCTGTCACCCAGGCTGGAGTGCAGTGACGCGATCCATCGCGGCTTCACTGCAACCTCCGCCTCCAGTTCTCCTGCCTCAGGCTACCAAGTAGCTGGGATTACAGGCAGCCGCCAACACACCCGGGTAATTTTTGTATTTTTAGTAGAAACGGGGTCTCACCATGTTGGCCAGTATGATTTCGAACTCCTGACCTCGTGATCCGCCCGCCTCGGCCTCCCAAAGTGCTGGGATTACAGGCGTGAGCCTCCGCGCCCGGCCACATTCGTGTTTTAAGAGGATACTTTGGGTGATTGCACAGTCTGAAGAGTCATTTTACCTTGCTTTCATTTATAAGGCATTCATGTACTGCCATCGTGTGGTCAATCCAGCACACATCGGCTTATTTGAAATGGTATTTAAAGTCAAAAAAAAAAAAAAAGAGTGTGCTATTTGTTTTGGTTCATGCTGATAGCCTTCATCTTGCCAAAAAGAGCTTAGCAAGGGTTAGCTGGAACATACCATAGATGTAAACCCAAGTGCTTTTATTTATCAGAGGACTCAGGCAGTGTGTGTTTGAAGTCAAAACCAAGTCAATCTAGCTGATAAAACCACAGGGAGCAAATAATATTTCTTATTTCCTGTTTAGTATTCTGGATATTTCATATAGAAGATCTATCAAAAGTTCAAAGTTGTGTTATTTATATAATTTTTCCAAAATCACAACTTACAGTTGAAATGATATTTTATAACTGTAGTGCCTTTTTAATGCAACTAAAAAAACTGTGTACATAAATGGACAAATATAAGTGCACATACAGGGGAAGGCAAAGCAATTTAAATTGGAAATGTTAAACACGCAGCACAAGATCATACTTTTCTCATATAGACAATTTCATCTGTTTTCAAGAGTAAAAAATCAAATGAGGTCCAATTCCCTTCTACTTAATTTTTAGTATCATCTCTAATACTGAGGGTGAGAGTAAACATTCAAATCGTAATCATGATGAAATTATTTAATGGATTCATATCTTATAAATTAAAATCTTTCTTCTGGTCAGAACATGAAAATCAAAAGCTCAATTTGATAAAAGAATGATTCTGGATTTAAATACAAAAGTTCTTATCTTGTAAAGCCCTTAAATTTTTTTCTAGAAATAAAACCTTTCCAACATTTAAATAAAGCAAAAACTACAGGGAAGCAAAATTCTATTAATGACTTCTTTCACCATAGAAAGTACCAGATGAGCTGATGAATTTTTTGCCTTCAGCTGATAGTTTTAGAGAGAGAACTATCATTTCAACTCTCACATCTTTATGTATTGTTTCAAGAAATGCCAAATGCCTTTCAAAATATTATCTCAGAATGTAAGATTTAAATATGCCAATAAAATTTATGAGACAAAATCCTAATTTACTTTCCTTCTTTCCCTTTTTTATTGAACACTCACCACAAATTTCTTATTAGATGAAACATAAAATGTTATCAACAAATATAAAATCAGCCTACACATAACTATCAATCTAAATTTTGGTCTTAAACTATCACTAATTTTGTTACTTTCTTCCATTTAGTACAGTGACTTCCTGCATGTTCATGAGTTTCTAATGGTCGTATACAATAATTTTTCTCTCATGACCTTTAGTAGGAAAGAAAGATATTTGTAAAGGAGAGAAAAATAAATGAACTAATATTAATAAGTAAATATTTTAATGAAGAAAGAAAAAATGTATTGAGTAGAGATGAAGATTATCTGGTCTAAAGATTAGATATGCACTGTTTTTTTGGTCATGAGTTTCTGTTATGGAAAACATAACAAACTCAGTAAATCGACATATTAAAAGAGGTAGAAACCTAGTCAAATTTCGACACTCTTAAAAGACTTAACAATGAAGAGAGATAGGTCCACAATTAAGACCAGTCTACACATTATTTAATTGCCTGCCAATCCCAGAAAAATCGAATTTAGTCAACATCAATGTGGTTCAACAGGAGTGTCTTGGAAGCTGCCTATGATAGGGCTACAAATGAAAGTGTCCTAAATCTTTAACCCTCATGAAGAGATGATGGACAACCAGAAGATGTAGCTACGAGCAACATCAAGGAAGGAGTACTGGTCAGCTTCATAAATACAAGTCTGTTTTCTAGGGAGAAGGAAGAATGGAAGCAATCTTAGTCAATATTCTTTTGACTGCAAGTACAGAAATTCATTTGAGATAGTTTATGCAAAAAAAAGTGTATTTATTCTATAGATATAAGTGTATAGTGCTACTCAAAGAATGATTTAGTGTTCACCTTGGCAGTACCTATGCTAAAATTAGAATGATACAGAGATTAGCGTGGCCCGTGTGCAAGGATGACACGTTCTAAAAATATATTAATATTAAAAAAAAATTTAAAGATCATGATGGAATTTGGTATAGAAATTGAGATGAAGCATTTAGAAAGTTGTGAGGTATTTGAGAAAGCAGTTTTTTGCCTGCTGATTCTTTAATTAAAAAGCACGGTCACTGTGTGACTCCTATGGCGACTGTAACGCATTACCACACACTTCCTGGCATAAAAAAAAATTTATTCTGCCACAGTTCCGGATGCCACTCCAGCCATCCTCTCTGAAGTAGGGCCTTGAGCTAGTGGAGCATCTTTGCCAGCATAAGCAGAAAACGGGAAATGCTTGGAATTTGCAACCACCATGCCTCCCAAGACGGTCACAAGCTAGTGACTCATTGGTGTGGGAGTATGAAAGCCCAGTTCCCTTGCCTTAAGTCAGGACAAACAGTACCTTGTAACTTACATTCCAAAACTCCCTGCTGAATCAGACTGGCATCACCCCTGCTTGAAGCGGTACCCTGGCTTCTTACCTTCCCTTCCCTCCTTCCCTCATACTCTTGCCAATTTAACCCGGAGCACTTCTTTAATAAATTACTTGCGTATGAATCCTTGCCTCACATCTCCTTATTTTGAAGAAACTGACCTAACACAGAGAGTGTCTTTCAGGTGCTTTAACATTTCCTTAGATTGGGGAACCCAACCAAAGACAAAGACTACATTACACAAACAAAGAGCAATATGAGCAGCCAATCCCCCTTGAAGAACTGGAACCAAATCATCCCGCTCTCTCTCCAGGCCACCGGAGCCTCACGGCTGCTCTGTTTCTCCCTTCATGTCTGTTTTATTTTTGTCTCCGCACACACATCTCTGCTTTATGGCACTTAACCATAGCTTTCAATCTAACTCTTCTGTTTCAATTCATGACTGCCTTTCATTTATTATAGTAACTTTTCACAAACTTTTTAAGAATTTGAAAATAAAGTTTTATATAAAAGAAATGTAGAAAGTGTACATGTTTGATACACTTTGATAGAAAGTGTAATGATACTGATAAAAAATTAGTAGAATTATACAGTATACTAATGACTGCCAAGTCCTCCCAATTTCAGAAGTTCCTTCTCCTTTAAGAGAAAAGGTGCATGGTTGGCACAAGGTATGGCACTCGGTATTGTCCGTAGCCACCCAAGTTCAGGCTACAGGGAGTATGTGCAGAAAGAGCCTTCTTACAGGACCTTGGAGAAGAAAGTGAGAAAAACCCTAACCGACACAGAGGCATATCCTGAGCCAAGAGTGTATTTGTCTTTGAGAATAGAGAGGATTTAAACTGAATGTGACATTTTAAAAAATGATTAACAATTAACACCATTTATTGAGGAGTACAATTTTAACTTGACCATTGGGAGTTTTATTGGTTAAAATAATTTAAGATAACGTTTTGACTATTATGATTAAATATAATATTATTACTATTTAAAAGGTAACTTTTTTACAGAATACCTATTATATTTCAAGCACTGTATTTAAATCTCTACATGCCATAGCTCATTTACATGTCGCATTGATTCTTTGACATGGATATTATTCCTATTTTAAATATTCCAAAGCTTAAACTTAAAGAATAATAGCTCACTCACAGCTAATCACCTGGAAGGGGAACCTAGATCTTTGTCACCAGAGCCCAAGTCATTTCCACACTGCTATACCATCTTAAGCTGTTTTCTGTCTTAGCTCTTTCTCTCAGTGTGTCAGTGAACAATTCTGTTTCTAAGTCAGTGCTCATTCTACTGTGTCAGCTGCCTCAGCTTTACTTCTTTCTCTCTAAGGCGTTCCTCCCTTCAAACCTATAATGCTAATGAAAGAGACTCGTGAAGAGTGAAGGACAAATCACATGTGCACATTGTCCCATGTTGGTCTAAAATTCTCTTTTTTTGCTGTGTCTCTGCCAGGCTTTGGTATCAGGATGATGCTGGCCTCATAAAATGAGTTAGGGAGGATTCCCTCTTTTTCTATCGATTGGAATCATTTCAGAAGAAATGGTACCAGCTCCTCTTTGTACCTCTGGTAGAATTCGGCTCTGAATCCATCTGGTTCTGGACTTTTTTGGTTGCTAAGCTAATAAGTATTGCCTCAATTTCAAAGCCTGTTATTGGTCTATTCAGAGATTCAACTTCTTCCTGGTTTAGTCTTGGGAGGGTGTATGTCTCCAGGAATTTATCCATTTCTTCTAGATTTTCTAGTTTATTTGCATAGAGGTGTTCGTAGTATTCTCTGATGGCAGTTTGTGTTTCTGTGGGATTGGTGGTGATATCCCCTTTATCATTTTTTATTGCATCTATTTCATTCTTCTCTCTTTTCTTATTAGTCTTGCTAGCAGTCTATTAATTTTGTTCATCTTTTCAAAAAACCAGCTCCTGAATTCATTGTTTTTTTGAAGGGTTTTTTGTGTCCACATATCCTTCAGTTCTGCTCTGATCTTAGTTATTTCTTGCCATCTGCTAGTTTTTGTTTTGTTTTGTTTTGTTTTTGTTTCTGAGATGGAGTCTCACTCTGTTGCCCAGGCTGGAATGCAGTGGTGCAATCTCAGCTCACTGCAAGCTCCACCTCCTGGGTTCACACCATTCTCCTGCCTCAGCCTCACAAGTAACTGGGACTACAGGTGCCCGACAACACGCTCGGTTAATTTTTTGTATTTTTAGTAGAGATGGGGTTTCACCATGTTAGCCAGGATGGTCTCAATCTGCTGACCTCATGATCCGCCCGCCTTGGCTTCTCGAAGTGCCAGGATTACAGGTATGAGCCACCACGCCTGGCCGCCTTCTGCTAGCTTTTGAATGTGTTTGCTCTTACTTCTCTAGTTCTTTTAATTGTGATGTTAGGGTGTCAATTTTCAGTCTTTCTTGCTTTCTCTTGTGGGCATTTAGTGCTATAAATTTCCCTCTACACACTGCTTTTAATGTGTCCCAGAGACTCTGGTATGTTGTGTCTTTGTTCTCATTGGTTTCCAAAAACATCTTTATTTCTGCCTTCATTTTGTTATTTGCCCAGTAGTCATTCAGGAGCAGGTTGTTGAGTTTCCATGTAGTTGTGTGGTTTTGAGTGAATTTCTTAATGCTGAGTTCTAATTTGACTGCACTGTGGTCTGAAAGATAGTTTGTTGTGATTTCTATTCTTTTACATTTGCTGAGGAGCGCTTTACTTTCAACTATGTGGGCAATTTTGGAATAAGTGTGATGTGTTGCTGAGAAGAATTTATACTCTTTTGATTTGGAGTGGAGAGTTCTGTAGATGTCTATTAGGTCCATTTGGTGCAGAGCTGAGTTCAAGTCCTGGATATCGTTGTTAACCTTCTGTCTCGTTGATCTGTCTAATATTGACAGTGGGGTGTTGAGGTCTCCCATTATTATTGTGTGGGAGTCTAAGTCTCTTTGTAGGTCTCTAAGGACTTGCTTTATGAACCTGGGTGCTCCAGTATTGGGTGCATATATATTTAGGATAGTTAGCTCTTCTTGTTGAATTGATCCCTCTACCATTATATAATGGCCTTCTTTGTCTCTTTTGATCTTTGTTGGTTTAAAGTCTGTTTTGTCAGAGACTAGGATTGCAACCTTTGCTTTTTTTTTTTTTTTCCTCTTTCCATTTGCTTGGTAGATCTTCCTCCATCCCTTTATTTTGAGCCTATGTGTGTCTCTGCATGTGAGATGTGTCTCCTGAATACAGCACACTGATTGGTCATGACTCTTTATCCAATTTGCCAGTCTGTGTCTTTTAATTGGACCATTTAGTCCATTTACATTTAAGGTTAATATTGTTATGTGTGAATGATCCTGTCATTATGATACTAGCTGGTTATTTTCTCCGTTAGTTGATGCAGTTTCTTCCTAGCATCGATGGTCTTTGCAATTTGGCATGTTTTTGCAATGGCTGGTACTGGTTGTTCCTTTCCATGTTTATTGCTTCCTTCAGGAGTTCTTGTAAGGTGGGCCTGGTGGTGACAAAATCTCTCAACATTTGCTTGTCTGTAAAGGATTGTATTTCTTCTTCACTTACGAAGCTTAGTTTGGTTGGATATGAAATTCTGGGTTGAAAATTCTTTTCTTTAAGAATGTTGAATATTGGTCCCCACTCTCTTCTGACTTGTAGGGTTTCTGTCGGAGTTTGCTGGAGCTCCACTCCAGACCCTGTTTGCCTGGGTATCACCAGTGGAGCCTGCAGAACAGCAAATATTGCAGAACAGCAAATATTGCTGCCTTATCCTTCCTTTGGAAGCTTCATCCCAGAGGGGCACCCACCTGTATGAGGTGTCAGTCAGCCCCTGCTGGGAGGTGTCTCTCAGTTATGCTACATGGGGGTCAGGGACCCACTTGAGGAGGCAGTCTGTCCGTTCTCAGAGCTCAAACACCATGCTGGGAGAACCGCTGCTGTCTTCAGAGCTGTCAGACAGGGACATTTAAGTCTGCAGAAGTTTCTGCTGCCTTTTATTCAGCTATGCCATGCCCCTAGAGGTGGAGTTCACAGAGGCAGCAGGCCTTGGTGAGATGCGGTGAGTCCAATCTTCCCCGGCCGCTTTGTTTACCTACTCAAGCCTCAGCAATGGTGGACATCCCTCCGCCTGCCAGGCTGCTGCTTCACAGGTCGATCTCAGACTGCTGCGCTAGCAGTGAGCAAGGTTCCATGGGCGTGGGACCTGCCGAGCCAGGCACAAGATATAATCTCCTGGTGTGCCGTTTGCTAAGACAGTTGGAAAAGTGCAGTATTTGGGCATAGGTGCCCCATTTTTCCAGGTACAGTCTGTCACGGCTTCCCTCAGCTAGGAAAGGGAAATCCACTGACCCCTTGCACTTCCCGGGGGGAGGCAACTCCCCGCCCTGCTTCAGCTCACCCTCCATGGGCTGCACCCACTGTCCAACCAGTCCCATTGAGATGAACCAGGTACCTCAGTTGGAAATGCAGAAATCACCTGTCATCTGTGTCGATCATGCTGGGAGCTGCAGACCAGAGCTGTTCCTACTCAGCCATCTTGGATCGGACCCCCCTGAATTCAATGTTTTATTGCAACTCAGGCACTG